TATATATATATATATGCGCTCTTCGACTCCTTCCTCGATTTTTTTATTTCTTTGACCACGGCATCTCTACATGTTCCCTTTATTTTTATCAATTTCTCTTTATTATAGTTTCAGCTTCTTATTGTTTCCGCACATTTCACCACGAGATGCATGCTTAATTCATTCTAGTTCTCCATTATCGCGTTAACTGATTATATAATAATGGTAATAAAAATCGCTATTATAATTATTTCTGAGTTTACCTTGTAATCTTCTACAGCACTGTCTTTCTTCGCTATCTCTATCCTTATCTTTAATTCGCCGTCATCAAGCCGTTCTGGTCTGCCTGGCTTCTAACAACTTTTTGTGGCTTTCATTACTCGCACTTCCTTTGTTTTCGTTTACGTTTCGTCCTTTTCGTGCTTTCCTATTAGCCCTTTTTCCTCAATAATGGTCATTATTAATTGGTCTGTCCGCTGGCTGGTTCTCTTTCCTCGTTAAGACGTGCTTTATAACACACACACGAAGTAGATTTAAAGCGTAAAACGCATACCCCATCCCATGCATACGCTTGGCTCAATAATATTTCGTATGCTTCGTGTGCTATTCAGTATCTGTAGCTCATTTCAAGTCTCTGAATTTTTTCACTGTAGTTTTCATCTTCTCTCATTCCCTCGCTTTCTCCTTGTCGCCGTCGTGATTTGATCTGATGATAAAAACTTTCAATCTTCGTTCTTTTGTCTCGCGTGCTTTCACTTTTTTCAGTGCACGCGTATATATCATTGCGCCACCGGTTCCATTGTATGCTTCCTCAAAATCATATTTGTGGCTTTCACCACATGTACCTTACGTTACTTTCACGTGACTTTCTTGTCCTATTTGTTTCAGCTGAAGAATGGAGCTAACCGCTACTAGTCTGTCAATCATTTAAACGATCTCTCCATACTCCGCTTGTCGTTCTTGTAATCTTCCAAAACACAACGTTCATTCATTATTGTCGACAGCCCTACGTTTCCCTGCTGAATTCACTGACCACACGTCCTACGGGTTTTTCTACAAACGCATCCGGAAATTCCTTCCTCTGAAAGCAGTCTTTCCTATACTCTTCTATGCAGTCTTCCTTGACTGTGCAAGTTAAATCCTTCTCCACCTTGACACGCATATCCTGTAAACTCGGTTTACCACTGTGCTAGGTTTGTGCCAAGTGACAATAACGTTGTCAATGATTATAGTCCGCTTTCTTTACTTTCACTTTCTCAAAAACGCTTTCCTTTTCTTTCACCGAAGAGAACACACTGTGCACACCGGAAGCTGCCGCCCACCTTTCCAGGGTCAAAGCTCCATTTCCGTATTCTACAAACAGCGTTTATACTAGCATCATTTCCGGAGCTAATTGACTGCAGTAGATGTTGGCAGATTCATCCTATATAATATGATGATGAATCTGCACGTGCTTTTATTGTGATCCCTGTTCCTTAATATGGTATTCATTTATCTTCTGTATTTGTATAGTCACTCTCTGCCTCGAGAAGTTTCATCTGTCTATTCGGAAATCTGCCACGCCATGAAGACAGTGCCGGGTTAGGACCCCCTGTAGCTATTTTGTGGCCGTTAAATCTACCTCATATCCTTGTTGTTAATGTTGCTGTTCTTGTCGTCGTCGTCTTTTGCTGTTTTGTTAGATTATCAACCAATCACGCCTGTTGAGCCTGCGGCTGCCGGGGGCCCCGGGGACCACCTCCGCGGCCACTAGCCATCTGAAATGAACCAAATCGCGACAATCTATGATATGTTTTTGTACACCTTTATTGAGACATGAAGAGTTTTCCCAAAATTAATAATTCTTGTAATAATAATAATAATAATCATATAAGAAGGCCACAGATCAATAGTTGTGGCAATTGAGTATCATTTAATTTTCGAATAGTCATTTTATGAAATTTACTTTTCACTCATGTCAAGATGTTAAAACTTCGTATGGCAACCATAGTTAATGTGCCATAGACTAATTTCTTTTACGATAATTATTAAAAAATGCCTATAAAATGATACATGTGTATTGTTTACATATGTATCATTTTATAGGTATTTGAAGAAAGAAACGAATATAAAAAGTAACGACGGCTTACATGATTGTTAGTGTTACTTCGACTGTTTCGGGCGTCGTATCCGCGACCATATCCACCCTGGTGACCCCCGTAACCTCCTGAGCCTTGATGACCTCCATAACCCCTATCGTAGTTGTTTCGGGGTGCATAGCCTATACCTCTACCGCCGCCTCGATAACCACTGTAGCTTCCACCACTGTAGCCGCCACGTCCCCCACGGTATCCACCGCCCCATCCGCCACCGCGGTTTCGGTAGCCCCAGCTTGGTGGTGCGGCTACACCAAACGTTTCCTTGTTGATGCTTCTTTCGTGCCGCCAATCCACACGCTGGTTACCATTCTGGCCCTTTTGCCGTTCCAAGGCCTCGCAACTGATCTGATCGAAGAAGCTCTTGCTCTTGTTGTAGTATTCGGGAGCAGGCTCGTCCCCGGCACCTTTCTCACTGCCGCTGCCACCCTTGTTAGCATCTTCGCCGGCACCGCTCTTCACGCCACTACTTTGCTCATCATCACCGTTCGCACCAGCCGCTCCGCTCGCTGATGCTCCACCACCACTATCGCCCCCGACAGTTCCCGCCTCGAGATCCACATCCCACTCAGACGCAGTGATATTGGCCTTGGCCATTTTCGACTCGAGTTCCTGGAACTCAAGATTTGCCTGTTCGAAATCGAAATCCTTGTCGAACTTCAATGGCTCCTTGTTAGGCTGCAACTGACCACGAAGTAGGCCGCGAGGTCCGCCTAGACCACCACGGCCACCTCGTCCCATCCCGCCGCCTCGGCCGCGCATTGGTGGAAAACCACCTCCGCCGACACTACCACTACCGCCACGACCCCCTGTATACCCCCCATGCGCCGGTCCCTGAATGCCGCGTCGCTGTTGGAAACCAGCGTCCCTCTGTCCGTGGAAACCCTCACGAGGTACAGGGGGCGGACGGGGTGATGGGTAGCCAGAAAACCTTGAGCCTTCACCGCTTCCACGAAACCCACTCATATTGTTTCCTCGTTGAACCTCCCGCTCGTCTTCTTCATGCTCCAGCGGTCCGCGTCGCTCACCGCCGCCCCCGCCACTGGTCATCGCTTTTCCCAGAAGATCGGGACTGCTATTTCGTGAACCAGCACCTTCATTCAAAGATTGTGCACACGAATCGACTTTGGGAGCGCCAGCCGCAGGTGGGAAACCCATTGGAGGTCCATTCGGTCCAGGCAGTTCAGGACCTCGGCCTCCGCTAAGACCAGCTCCAGGTGCCAGCATTGACGGTGATAATCCAAGGCCGCCACCAAACGGTGATCCGCCCATGTACATGGGTCGAGGAGGCGGAGGACCTTGGTTCGCGTATGGTGTGCCAGAGAAATCTCCAAATGATGGACCAGGTGGACCGGGAGGTCCAGGAGGACCCGGTGGGGGAGCCATTGAATGGCTCACTATGGCCGGATCCTGCACTAATGATGCAACCGGTGGCTGACATACCCGCAGGTCTTTAATGTCCGAGGCTGTGAAGGTAATAAATTCGAAGATGTCATCACTAGGAGGTACTGGAGTATCCGTTTTTCGATCCTCTGTGCCAAAAACGCGTACTGCAATAGGCAATAACAGAAAATAAAGTTTGATCGTTATGCAGTTATGCGATGTCACGGGAAATATTCATGATTCCTCCATCAGGCACCTTACGCTTTCGTCGTCACATAACCTTAATACTATCGACATCGAGTATCCAGAAAAAATAACAGTGTAAAGCAACTCGAAGCGAAACGGGACCAAAAAACAACAATTGTTAATGAGGCTCCCGGCAAGAGGCTGGGATGTCATTCCAACAGCGGTTACCATACGATATCAATGAGCCCGACTGGATGAAGCACACGCTGCGGGTTTTTTGATCCATTAAGATGATCTAGCAGACAAAAACCTCTAGCAGAACCAGCTCATCGCGTAAGAACTATATACATATTAATTCTTGAAAAAGTCAGTATGTTAGGAATTTAAGTTTTCTTTATCTCCTCTATCTTGTGACGAACTAAGCGAGCTCAAAGAACACTCGTAAGAGTAGTACAACGTATCTTACTTAAGTCACATATCTAATGGGATAATATATAAATATAAAAGTATTTATATAATGCACTAAGGGTTTCTTTCCCATTAATTCACAAGCCACATGCTTATGGTGAAGTCTACTGTCACGCAGTAAACACGCATGCTTAAATTTTAAAGCTTAAAAACATTTTCCTTGTTACAATGAACATCTTTCTTACTACGACGTGGTGCTATGATACCAGTGACAAATAAACGTTTAAGAAGCCTAATAGCACAACTTTGTGTCGCCTTAATTTGTTTCGCTTCCTAAATAAGAGCCCAAATCGATAATGTGGAACAAAAAGCTTACCCTTAAAAAGCGCGACGGTACTTTCTTTCGAATCGATGGTGTACAGGATTCCTTCATAGCGGATTTCAGCATTAGAAATAAGGCTGATCTTTGAACCTAAGTACGGAGTAGACGCAGCCATTTTTCTATAAATATGAAATCGCATATTAAAAAAATGTTATTGTCATATACATACCAAGAGCCAATATCAGTGTTTATTAACTAGAAGAGATTTCTAAATTGTACGAAATATTATATCAAGTATGCTCGTAGATTGACATTTATGCCACGCACCAAATAATTCCAACTATCGTTACGACAAAGGAGTGGTTACTTGCGAGGGCTCAAACTGCGTGACATGAAATGTGAAAAGAACTACTACTTATTGACTCCCCATGATTAATAAGCCTCATTGTGCATGGTGAATACCTCACTAAATTTGTACGCCGTAAGCTTTTTAATAGAAGCACAGAATATATACAAGAAATATTTATTCACACAAACTGTGTGAATTCTTTCTTTAATGTATCATCAACACAGAGCGTATGCCTACCAATTAGGGCCATGTAATATCTGTAAAGTCAATGTTTAAGGAATCTGTATTAAGTTAATAATTTGCGTAAAACAAAAGTAAGCCCATACTTGAGGGTAACAACTTCATTCCACCATCAGGGTTGGTGACGTGCAAAACCTAAACCAGAATGTCGAACAGCTTGTTTGACTTGCGGAAAATGCAATCTCCACCAGTTGAAAACGATAATTCAAGAAATGAATTACATACACAGAACACACGTGTGTCTTAACACATCGAAGTGATTTTTTCTTTAATAGGCATCCACTTATCTACTTAGTTGAATAACCAGCTCATAGGAAAGCTAAAAAATGTTTACGAAATTCATGTACAAATCGCATATTGCTCATAAGAATAAAGGACGCTTCAACTGTGGAATTCAGTCGCAATGTGCGAAGGATTTTGCTTTTAAGTTCCGTCCTAGGGTTATTTCATGCAAGTAAAATTACAACCATCATATCGTTCAACTGCTGCTTCCCGCGTCTGCTGCATCAAGTTGTTGTTGGTGCGTGCACGTCAGCGAGACGACGTAGAACTTTTAGTCGACACCTCACACAGTTCGTGAGGTCGATGCAATTCAAACTTAACTATAACCTCGCGGCAACCGTATGTAAGTGATAAAAGAGTGAACGCTTCGAACAGCTGCTGAGTAGCAAGTTCCAAGTTGAGTCCCAGCGCCAACGCTGACGAATCAGACTGGGCAATTATAATTGGTTCGCCGTAATCCCATTGACACAGACGATTTAAAATGAAATTCACGGACATGTATGTTTTTCTCCCGATACAAAAAAAAAAACAATTTTTCTAAATGTCCTGACTGTAACTTGTCGTTACCCATATTCATCATGTGTCGGTTGTCATATCGCGATGCTCAGTTGGGCAACGGTATGGGAAAAGTTGATGAGGCAACGGTGGGTACAATGGACTGACCGGCAAGCAACCAATCACACCATATAACAACACCAACATACTGCTGCGCTCTCAAACACATAACGGACAACGTTCTCAGGCACCACCATTAATAGAACAAGTGACCACCGATGCAAGCGTTTTGGTAGTTTTCACCAGCAAAGAGGCACAGGTTAGTGGCGTTCCCGCAACCGCACGATTAGGTACAGTCGCTGGTCGAGTGTCAGCTTCTGTAGCAAGACGACGCTTCCAGTAAAGAAAATAACACATCGCTGATAGATGACAAACAGCGAATATGCCAATAGACGGTTATTTCAGATCTCATCTATACAGTTACGGCGTAAGCGTTGTCAGTGAGCACTAAGAGCGACCGTAATAGTGATGCCATCTATAGAAAGTCGCAACACAGAAGACAGCCGACATACGATTAGGTAGTAGAACCGACGGTTTCACAAATTTTCTATGGAATTTCGCGACAAATCACCTGCTGTTTGGTGGGTTGAGGGCAGCCGACTACAGTTGGCCGCGTTTTACCGGGCTAGATCAGTAGCTGCAGCCCGATTTACGCGGATTTCCGGCGACAATTAACTAGCACTGTTCGGTCTGGCCAACAAACTACGACGGACTCACGGCAAACAGCACGAATTACACGGCAACCAAGCTAGACTCCTGCAGCAGCAGCAGCAGCAGCAGCAGCAGCTCTCCTCAGTTTTGTTTACCCCCTTGCTGGGCGACGACCGCTCCAACAGCAACAGACGCTGCTCGCTGCTCGCAACAGAAGTCTACTTTAAGTATCTAAAAAGAATAATGCCACCCTTTTTCATACACGCTTCGTATTTAAGGTTATGCATTAAGCCAGCTTTTCTAACTAAGGAGTCGCTGGCGTAATCACCTTATTGATATTACTGGGAGACGATAAATCGTATATGAAAATCTCTAAAGAAAAGCAAGTTCTTGAAATGATACCGAGGCATGATCCGTTGCTTCTACGCTTCTATGGCGAACGATGAGAGACGCCACTTACGGTGTTTTGCTGAGGCGGGCAAATGTATAGTTGTAGTGGAGAGGGGGGCTATATTCTCATAATGAATGCTTATAGTGTGGAGATGCCGGCATCTATTAGTCCACTGACTAATGAAACCGCTCTACATGTTATTTATAGCCTCGTTAGTCCATCCAAACTGGAGTAACTCTATCAAAACAGAATTTGGTCTGAATTTTGAAATGAACCGATCGAATCAAATAGACGAATACATGACCGTATTTTCAATAAAACACATATGATTCCTCGATGAGGTGTCTGAACCAAATTAAAATTGAATGGGTTTTTAAAATATGTGCTATGATAACGGTTACCCTCCTTCTCTTGTCCTTTTTCTTTCAGTGCATTATCCCGTCGTCGAATTGAAACGCTACATTTGGGTATGATAAAGTTCGAAGTAACACTTGGTGTAGAAATCATGTTTATATTTCACAGTGTATTTTTTATTGTGTCGAACTTTACAGGGTGCTCATATCTATCATTGACAACATTTTTGCCGAGTTGGTATAGTCTACGCCGTAGAAATGCTAACATGATACACTTACCACTAAAAGCCGAGGTTTACAAATTTGAGCATTTTATCAAATAAGCTATCTTAACTCCACCTAAACCAGGCTAACGAAACATGCCAAAAACTGACGATAGGTCCTCCAGCCTATGCCTCTGTAACGGTAATATCGCGACACACACTGACCTAAGCCCACAGCACAGATCAACAGATACCATATACTTTTAAGGTTAAAGTTTGTCTTAAGAGTCTATTAACAACAAAAACGCATTCACACACTTTTTACTACTCTTCCCACTAATATTCGTATCGTCTTCAACTGTCTATTTCCCAGATACAAACAGTTTCTTCTTGGGTAAAGAAAGAAAACAAGCACTACAAGTATAGCCATCTCGCAATTTATTTTTTGGACGGTTTTCTTAAATTCGAAAATACGCACCTTCTTTGTTCACAGAACATCTTTAATAACATCCTGATAAGCAACAAATACCTATGTTATAAGAAAAATACGGAAAGTAATTTAATCCGGCCAGATAACTCGAAGTAATGCGCACACGTATTTTATCAGAGCAAAGCTTGAAATAGAGTTGTTTCCAAGTCTCTTCCGTAAATTCTGCACCTGAAATGTAAAATGTGAAAACGACATCAAGTTTAATTAAAAATAAGTGATATAACATTTTACACATAAAGTATCGGATTAAGCTTCAATGAACCATTTTCGATAAATTAACGCTGATGTGAAAGGGAATTCAATTGTATATTTTTGCGTTCAAAACAGAGCACTAAAATTGCTAATTTTATGCTAAAAATATGTTACAGATTAATACATAGATCACTTCTGCTTTGACGAAGATGTTTCTGCGTTGTGTTAATAACGTTTTATAGGACCTATAGAACCTTGTAAAATTATAGAAAACTATGAAAAACGCATAATAGGTATAATATATAAAAAGTGCAGTTTGTTTGTTTGTGTACCTTCGAGGTGTTGCTATATTATTGTCCGAAGGAACAAAACACTGTTATAGTAACCATCTCTGCCTGAAATATGCTAGAAGAATAAGTGCATTATTGTGTATTTCACTAGATATGAAAAAATAAGATTCACGAAAGGTTCATTTTTTTCTTCTTACCATGTAAAATATTCTGTGATCCTTTATCATTCAAGATTAAGTTCTGGCATGTAGCCCCAGTCTTTTAGGAAACGCATACTATCCACAGTTTTTCCGGATGGACTGAAACCGAAATAAAGAGGCTCAATGTGAACGAATTTGTCAGCGAGAGGGAATCCTTTGAGTTGCAGTACAGCCTTTACAAGCGTTCGTGTTAAATATTACTAAAGGCCCAGTATATATGAATCCAAAAAATTAAGATATAATGTAGGCTAATGTTCATTGTTTGTATAATCATAAGACTGCCATTTTAGATCTGATTAAGTTAATATTAAGGCTAAAACCTCTAAACGATTACAAGAACGCCGAAGAGTTGTGTTCACTACTGTGACGTAAATGTTAATTTCAGAAATTATAACTGTCGACATTTGTACACTCTATTAAAAGTAGAGGTAGTTCCTTTTAAGGGAGCGTATCATTACCTCAGGTAGGTTACATAATTGAAACCTAATGATACTGGACGCAAGTGAACTAAACTATAGAACGCTAACATAACTTTGCAGAATGAGCAGCTAAATAGAATTGACTGGATTTTATATATAATTTAAGAAGGCCCACAGAGGGCGACTGCGAATCCAGGTAAAATCAATGACAATTTTTGCCATTTTTGAAATGAGAACAATGGTTTTTATCATTACCCTTTTGTTGATATCTTGGCAATGACAAAACTAAATTTGTCGACTGAGGAGAGCTGGGCGTACATATCCTCGATTAAGAATTAGTCTAATTAACGTATAGGTTTGCGAAAATATTAACAGCAATATGTGTAGAAAATGATAATTATGTTTCAAACAATCCCAAAAATGAACAAAAAATAGGACCAGGATAGAAAAAATCTCAAAAATTGGTGACAATGAAGCCATATAAAAGCCAAACCAAAAGTTTCAAACTATCAAGAGCTCTGTGCATGACGATATAGAATTTCGAATGTAGTCTAACAAAGTAAGTACAGCAAGCAATGCATAATTTCAAATATTCGAAGAAAGCCTGAATTTCTATAATATAAAAGTTTACTTTGTATGCGTCTGATGCACTCGTCGAAGAGCTGAGCTTGTGGTCACTACGTGAATTGGTCAGTTCTGGTAGCTGGCATTAAATTAACAGACTTGTAGCTATTGAACGAAGAGATTAAACCAATTACATAATCATACAACATTTTTTGTTATTTGCACAGTCAAATAAAGTAAGCTTTTATCTGTATACGTTACGTAAGAGTTTTACTTAAACTGCTGAATGTGAAAATATATTTATTATACCAATATTCGAGGCCGATATAGTCCCGATAGCCAAGCTCGTTGAGTAATTCGAGGACGTAACGATAATCGATTTCACCAGGAGCGCTCGGTTCCGTACGTTTTGGGGCTTGGGAAATTTGAACGTGGCCTATGTAAGATAATGCAATATAGAACGACTGTTAGAACAACTTTTATATGTATCATATATTCGTAATCTACTGCAATTTTAAATGTACCATGTTCTTATATGGCTTAAGCGCTGTATCCTGTTAATCAGCGTTAGATGCCACGCATCAGACGACGAAGAAGGTAATGTCAGGTTAGCTGAGACCCAAAATGGGGTGTGCATACAAAAAAGATTGATAGAGACAAACTACTGCCCGAGGGTCCCGCAAGAATTATATGGTGTTGCTCAAGGCAAGACCAATGTGTGCGAGCTTGAAGAAAACTGAACATACGTGTACCGTACAGTCAACATGGGGTCAATTTGCGCTAGGGGCAAAAAGGATTTTTCGCATAAAAACTTTCCTGATTTGTAACTCTCATGTATGAAAGAGTACGTGCACCGTATTGGTGGTTGCCGTAGTCACTGCGACAGACAATACGTTCGGCATATCCTTTGGTTCATAAAAGTACAGGCAGCGTAAACGCATATCACTAATGCAACAGGCCAGATAACTCACAACCAATGGAATAAACTGTATACAATACTTAGAATCGGAGCAGACACTTTGCTTTTTGCGGGTTTCGGCGGCGATCTGAAGTGAGTTATGTTGTGGGCCTCCTTTTGGATGACCCTCGTAATGATATCCTATGGTTGAGATCCGTTGCGGCTCAATATACAAGAACTAGAAGAAGCTGGGTCATGGGTGAAAACCGTTTAGTAAGCATTTCAAGGAACATCATGATGGATCCATTCCATTGAGTTATGCTAGTTTTTATTTTCCGTCTAGCTCTATCTATTCATCTAGTTTCTTTATTTTTCACACATTCGTCCGACAGTGCTCCGGCAGCTTCTGGACAGCCATACATATATTAACATTCCTTATGTAATTTCACTCTCTATGGTTTCACGAAGTAAAGCACTAAAAAGATATGCTTGCTCATCAGTTGCCCTTTTAAGCGCGTGAAAAAAGCCGTAACTATATGGACTTAGATCGGAAGTTTAAGCTGGTTGAGGTCAAGGTTGAATATTTTTTTACTCAATCCAGAAAATAACTGAGAGATGGTAATGAAATTTGGCGTTGTCATCAAGTAACCAGACTGTGTGTTTGATTGCCGTGCGAAAAGTTAGTGAGCCTTTTAATGAGCTAGAAAAAGCGAGTCCTATTGTTTGGTTTTTGGTGAGTATATCATAGGAGCTAATGCCCATTGATGTGCACTGCAAGTATTACAATAATCTCATGTCCGAACCTAGTTGAAACTAATACCAAACTCGATTTCCCTGCAGGGTAGCGCCATTTTCTCACCTCATTCCCCTCCAGCTGTCGGTAGAGATTAAACCGTGCCTCGTATATGGTAACCATATGCTTCAGGCGCATTTTTTGTTATTAGAGTTCCGCACATGGCACGTGGAATATACCACAAGTATTTTGAGTTGGCCCGGAGTCAATTCACGGAGAACCAATCTTTTAACCCGTTTCCGCACTGCAGTGGTTAAACGGTAATTCTAGAATCTTGGAGTAGTTATCAAGCATATTTTGTCTGCTTCGCGAGGCGCAGTTTAAAAGCTTTTCAGTTTCAAAGTCCGCCGGATTTGCTTGTACCAACCTAATCTACACATGTATGGGAGATTGGGGTAAATTTGATTATTCTTAACGAATTCTACCCTTTATGAAAGGACAGTACATACTGAAGTTTACTAACTTCCCATGAGTATCATAAGCGCATGAAATTTCATTAAAATTTATTAGCGAAATTTACTAAGATGTCGACGAACTGTTTTTTTGTTTTAGTATATTCGAGCTTTTGCTCATAGTTTCTAGTTGGTTGCTTCAGAAATCTCATTTTCGTAGAGCTGTCTGATCAGAATTAAGCTACTTCATTCAAAACTTTATAGTTCAATATAGTGTTGAAGTTAACCTAACATAAAACAAATAAAGTCTACACTTATCTATTATTTATAAAATGAGAGATCCGGTCTGGCCTTGGTTTACTGGGCCTTTATAGTACGTTATCATATGATCTATACATTAAGTTACTGTATTTAAATCACATTTGTCGTAACGAAATCAGTGGCGTATGTAACCATATTCCAAAATTATAAAGTAACTTATAGCTTAATTTGAACGGTGTAGAGGAAGCCACCTTTGCTGAAAATTTGTGCTTGTATGTTAGTGTTTACAAATGTAAATCTAGACTAGATCGGGCATCGCAGGTAAAAGAGTGAAGTGTGAAGTACTTTCCGATTTTATTAATTCTATTAGTTTAGCATTTTAGTTATAGCCAATTTTTAGCTAACCATCGCCTGAATATTCAGTTCCTCGGCCAAGTTTCCAGCTTTTCAATCAGGCCCCCAAAGGGTTTTCTGCAGCAAGCAAGATTTAAATAAAAATTTATGACGTATAGTTAATTCTTCAGGGCAAAAAGCATTTGAATTTTTGTTGATGATGCCCCGAATGATTAAGAAAATGACCATCTGCCAGAACCTATAGAATATTAGGAATATA